AGCTTAGCCTCAGCAAATACAGAGAAATGAGAGGAGAGTAACACATCATTTTCCATTAGTTGAGAGATCAGGGATAGGATATCTATTGGTAAGGCGTCAGTAAATCTCAGCCACAAGGAGGTGAGGTGATTGTTGGTTGAGGTCGCCTTGTGAGGTAGGAAAATGGTCTTCTTATCCTCTCATTGGATAGAGCAGAGACAGCCTTGCGATGGAGAACAAGTCACCGATTTAAATAGGTAGTCGACGTGGCTGTTGGCGCAGGGATATTACAGTAGCCGCTGCGGCAAGTTCAAATCAATTCTCTCCAATAGATATTCAGAATAAGGCCTATATACGTTTAGTGTAGTATGTTCCGGTACGGACTAGGATGTGGCTTAGTACTGAACCTGGCCTTCCTCATTTAGACACCGCAGCTATGATAAGGGTGTTGGGGCTTTTGCGCAGCGAACAATTGGTTGATATTACTCAGTTTTGAACCCAGGCACCCACCTAGTGAAATAGTTGCGGAATACGATGTATTCAAGTTTTATTGCCTGTCTTGCAACATTCCACGCTTTCTGCGATGTATAGCCGCCGGCTGGTACAGTGATAGATGATATACCGTGCATATTGTGTCTCGAGTATGTTCCGTGGATTGACATAATCTGTGCGGGGATGCGGGAAGTCATTTATGTTGACATCGAGGCTCAATTAAATATGTACATGAGAGATGTGCTCAAAGAATACAACCGTGCTCCGAGAAATCCCAGTTTACAAGCACAACACAAAGTATACATCTCAAGAACTCCTAATCTCCCCCTTCTTCCACTGAACATCATACAAAATATTTCCCCCCCTCAACACCCTGCCAGGAACCCACCCCTTCTCCTCCATCCACACAAACGGCCACCAAACAAACACCCCCAACACACAAAACACCGTCGCAAACGAATGAAGCGCCAGCACGATCCACTGCCCCACATGCGGTAAAATGAACTTTACAAACTCAGACGTCTGGTACAGATCCTCCTGTCTGCTGATGTAGTACAGCTTGTGGTGCCCATTAGCGACTTTGCCATCTACGGCATCGGTGTCTGTGTAGCGCCCTCTGTTGGGCGTTTCGCCCGTCGGGTCGGTCGTAAGGTCCAGGACTGTGGTTAGGGTTACGGGTGCGACGTGGAAGGGGATGATCCAGATTGTGAAGATTTGGGACATGTTTACGTAGAGTTTTAATTTGTGCTCGTCGTATGCTATTGTTTTTTTCTTTTGTTAGTATTGGGGTTTTGTTATTGTTGTAGATTGGGAGGGGGACGCACCTATGGAGTGGATGTTCATTTCGATTCGCGGCGACATTACTTTGTACCATTGGTAGATCTTTTTGATGACCCAGCGGCTGCCAGTGAAATGATGGATGCGGCAGAAGGGGTGCACGAAGGAGGCATTGGGGGTGAAGAATTTCTCGATGGTTTGGAGTTGCTCGGCCGGGGGGGATTGGGTGAGGTGGTGGATTACGGAGGAGATTTCGAGGACTGGGTTGTTTTGGTTAGGGCATTGGTATGCTAGAATTGGAGGATTTGGATTGGCAAACCTGGGTTTTCCATGTTGGTGGCTTCTTTATCCAACCGATTCTATGTGTGTCGTTAAGTGATTGATTGAGGCTGGAGAGAAGGGTAAATGGGAGGAGAACAAGAGTTGATGTTTTATGTTCATATCAAAATGACGTTTTTCGGCCTTGTTGATGGTGGTGATGTCATTGCATGTGAAAGTCAATGTTACTTTTTCGGGAAGGATGGTCACATGATGGCTGCCTGTGGCATCCATTTCTTAGTTGCGTAGTTTCTATCTGGTCTAGACTTTCATATATTAGGCGCCTAGGATGTATCCATTATAGAGTCTAGAACCCCTACATACGCTATCAAGGGTTACGTGCTACAACACACCCGTAGGTATGTGGTGTGATCGCTGGAAGGTTATGGAGATTTATTGTGTAAGGTGCCCATGGTCGGCTGTCATACATGAGCGTGTGATTTGACGGCCGGAAACTCAAGATCATTTTGGGGAAATATTATCAAAAGAGCTAATGAAGGCCGTACTTGTCTGGTATGTGAGATACCGAATACGAAGGGATGTGGAAACCTTAGCAGGGGATCACGCCACTTGAACTCTATATATCGTTCTAGGCGCAGATCTCACGGTTACAATCAGTATGTCCTGGTATTAGGATATTTATAGTAGGTTCGAGGCAAATAGGACTACTTCTTCCTGACAATGGGCTGGCTACACGAAGGAAGGATGACATATAGCTACTCCACTATGTCTGAGCAACAAGAACTAAACAAACGGACCGCATCGGTCCTTACATTCCCGGAAGCGAACTCATGGTCCGTTCGGCCGTCTAATGTAAGAGAATCTTCACCTATTGAGTTCCTAGTCCCTAACAGAACTACATCCAGAATATCTACGCCGGAATCTCCGTCCTTCGTCGCGACCAGTCGGCTAGTAGAGTTGCCATCGCCGTTCGAAACTCGACATACTTAGTCGACTGTTTTGTCTGTGGGATGCCGATGGAGATATCTGACACCACTGCTCACACGGTTTGCGAGCGGATCGTCTCCGCGCTACAGAGCTACAGCGAGAAGTACCACGAAAAGTTTGCAGGTGTTGCCTTGCCACTCTCTCTGGCCAACAAGTACCCAGCCCTCTGCCCTCGGCTCTGGCAACAATTAGACATCATACCGCTGGTTCTCGGGCACAAAGGTCGTGCGAGAGAGGAGGTGGACCAGGGTGAGTTATCTACATTCTCTGGATGGGACAAGAAAGAGTTGGATGAGCAGGCGGATTCCATGGTTAGAAAGTGTATCCGGTATGCGCATGTCTAGACGCAGGACGAAGCATCTCTGATCAGCCCCAGGTCGTTTGGTATTGGTCATGTCCTTCAGACGCAAATAGGTCTCGGGAGTTTAGTAGAGGTTGACCGGAACTTTCGGGTGCGACTTGCTGATGTGAAAGATTATGAGAAGACGGTTGGATCGCGGACATGGTCTATTGCTCAGTATTACGCGCAAGACCTCAAGCGGAGAGGAGTGAAGATTGCGTTCTTTAGTATGACTTCCCATGGCAGGCCTGATATCCACACAAGACACACTCTCGTGAGGCTTTTGCATTGCTTGGAGATCAATGTTGAATGGTGAGCAAATACTATTGAGTATTTTGGACTTGAACCACTGCTGAATCGTATTCCTGTGTAGGTATGTCCCCAAGCCGCGTCCTGGAATCTATCATATCATCCGGAAGATACAAGATGCCCTAGAGGGACTGGGCGACCCCAATGAGCACCTCACAATAGATGAGGAACTTCGCATTTTAGAGTGGGTCTATGAAAATGCTAGACGATATTGGCTCTCGGAAGGGGGTCCTCTCCAGGCTCGACGGAACGGAGGTGCAGACGTGGTAGTCATTGATGATGCGCCCCTCGCGCCAGCAGCACTATTATCCAAACAAGCCGATCCCGAACGACCAGTTATCTTTGAAAATAGAATTCAGTTCGAGCACGGTCTGCCTGGTGATTCAACTAGCTTGTCAGCCCGTGCATGGAACTTTCTTCGCACCCGACTAAACCATGTCGATCTCGTGGTATCTCAAGTCCCAAAAGTGCTTGCGCCTGATATTATGCCGGGGAAGAAGGTTGGCTACATCCCGGTGACGGTTGACCAGTATTGCCCACTATCCTGAATGCTGATTTAGGTTCAACATGCTGATGTATCCCAGACTGGACGGTTTTAATAAGAATATGAGGGAATCTGACATCGCCTTCTATGGTCGCGAATTTAACTCGTTATGTCGAACGCTGGAAACGCCAACCATAAAGTATCCGGAGGGTAATGATTCCTTTCCGTAGTCTCTACATTCCCATTGGACATTGTGCTCATATATAGACCATCCACAGAAGAATATATCCTGCATCTATCACAGTTTCGAAGTCTCGAAGAAACCATCACCGTCCTAAACGCCTATCAGAGATTCTGCAACCAATACACCAACGCACTTGTCGACCCACCACTCCCCAAACTCCTCATATATCACTACGGACCTTGCCGGAGTTCTAAAAGCACCCTGATCTACGATGCCCTCCTATCACATGTGGAGATAAACATGCCGGAGCTTGCCTCATCAATCTGCGTCATGCAAATCGGTCCCCCAGACCAACTATGGAACGCACTTCTCACCAACGCCAAGATCGTCATGGAATTCTCCCTGTCCGAAGGCATTCCCCCAATGCTTCTCGCTGCGGTACAGAAGGGCAAACCAATCATTACCGTCAAGGAAATGGGCTTTTTCTCCTTCACTGAGAATGTCGATAATATTCTTTTCGTTGAGAAGGGCGATGAGAATACTACCGCCCTGTTGCTGTTTGATCTTTGGACTGATCCGGGATTGGCTGATCAAATAGTTTTGGGGGAGCCGAGGAAGTTGCGGGATGAGCTGACGACGGTTGGGAATGCGGTTAGCTGGCTGTTTTTGGCGGCCGAGATGTCAAGTATTGGTGGTTCTATGGAGCCGGATGGTGGGGATATCTTTGAGTTGGCTGGTCGGGGGGCTGGTTTGTAATGTATTTTTATGAAGAGTAGATGATACCAAGTTGTCATGGTTTCTGTCGTTTCTCTTTTATCATTATATCGGTCCTGGTCGTCCTCTTGGAGTGGGCTGCTGAGAGTTTCCATGGTTCCTTATCCCAAAGGTGGGCACTGCCGCCTAACAAGTTGCATTTCTATATGTTGTCGGTGAAAAAGATGACAGGGGTTCATGCTGACAGCATCATTGGGCCATAATTGAAAGTTGGATGTTCCCATAATTAACAAGCAAAGAATAGAACCTCTTTGGCCGTGGGGAACTTCTCTGCGTGTGAAAGGAACACTCTTCAATATAAAAACCAGTTTCCTTGGAGAGACAAGGCTGCGGTCCCAGACTTCTGACTTATTTCCAGCTTTATAATGCAGAATGGTTCACTTTACGTGATCAAAGGCAAGGTGGCCGAGTGGTCTAAGGCGCACGGTTCAGGTTTACCTGGACTTTCACGACTTTCTTATGAAGAAGTTTCCGTGTCATTAATTTGGCGTGGGTTCGAATCCCACCCTTGTCAGGAATTTTTGCTATTCCCAATCTTTTTGGGATTCAGTCGTTATGCTCAATGAGTTAGAAGTAGCTGTGTAGATATAGGGTTGTTGAGCCTGGTGTGTCTCCTCCGACCTTGTCTCAATAGAAGGAGGACCTTTTCTGGTGGTTATCGATCTAACTATGCTCTTGTTGTGATTCGTTTCTCCCTTTTGAGGGCTACAAGCTGTCTCTCCCTTCTGCCTCGGCGGCGTGGCGATATGGGTGCGCTCCTTAATACTCGACCAATGTCTTGATGACATTTGTTGCATTCCCATCTCATTTAGTCTTACTCACAGCTTTTGACTTAGGTATAGTTGCTAAGGGCCGGGCTGGCTTTGTTGCGGGTAACTGTAGATAATCTCCGAACTCTACCCGTCAACATCATAGCTATACTGCCACCTTGAACTAACCTCTGTTCCAACAGTTTACCAGCTCAGAGATGAGCATCTTTGCCTGGAAGATGCAAAGGTATATCTCAGTGCGGGGAAAAAAGTTCGGGGGCATAGTCCGAAAACGGGTACTCGGCCCGCACCTGCTTTGCCGGCCCACTCCCGGCTTTTATCCTACTCTCAGCGGGTCTATCACTTTGTCTCCAACCATTATCGCTGGACTATGACCCCGCACCCTGGAGACAGATTAGCACGTACAATGATCACTGATGTCAATATTTAAGATGATATGACCCAGTCCATGTATGGCCATGCATCGAATCAATCCCCAAACACACCCATCGTTGCATCTAAATCGCGCCCCAAAATGACAACAACCGGATTGCGCATCGCCATCGACAGAGGCGGCACATTTACCGACGCCTGGGCAGAAATACCAGGTCGCCAAGAACACATCATCTTCAAGGTCCTATCCGTCGCTCCGGAGGAGTACAACGACGCGCCGACAGAATGCATCAGGCGGATCTTAGAAATCGCCAACGGCGAGAAGATACCGAAGGGATCGCCGCTTGACCTGGCGTCTGTTGAGTCCATTCGGATGGGCACCACGGTGGCGACGAATGCGCTTCTGGAGCGAAAGGGTGACCGGGTCGCGTTTATGGTTACTAAGGGCTTTCGGGATTCGCTTTTGATTGGCAATCAGGCGAGGCCGAATATTTTTGATCTCTCGGTGAGGAGATTGAAGCAGTTGTATGAGGTTGTTGTTGAGGTTGATGAGCGGGTTACGATTGAGGGGTATAGTGAGGATCCGGAGCCTGGAGCTATTGATGTTGCAGCTGATGAAAGCTTGGTGGTTGGTTTGACTGGGGAGGTGGTGAGGGTTCTGAGGAAGCCTGACTTGGGGGTGGTTCGGGCGCAGTTGGAGGTTTTGCAGGAGCAAGGGTATCGGAATTTGGCTATTGGGTTTATGCATGCGTATACGTATCCTGAGCATGAGTCGGAGGTGGCTAAGTTGGCAGAGGAGATGGGGTTTAGGGTGTCGGCTTCGTCGGTTCTACAGTCTATGGCGAAGTTCGTTCCTCGGAGCCAATCTGCTGTAGCAGATGCGTACCTTACCCCGATGACTGCATCCTATCTTGAAAGCTTCCGGAAGGGATTCAAGGGCCAGCTGGAGGATGAAAACGCAAACAAGGTGCTTCTCGGTCAGTCGGATGGCGGTCTCACGACCTGGAATAGCTTCTCGGGCCTCCGTGGCGTATTGAGTGGCCCTGCGGGAGGAGTTGTCGGTCTGTCAAAGACATGCTACGATGTGGAGGAAGGCCGACCAGTGCTGGGATTCGACATGGGCGGAACCAGTACCGACGTGGCGCGGTATTCCGGTGCCCTTGAGCATATCTTCGAAAACACTATTGCGGAGGTGACCATTCAGACGCCCCAGCTGGATATCAACACCGTCGCTGCAGGCGGGGGGTCGATCCTGTCGTGGGAGAGTGGGTTGCTGAAGGTCGGACCAAGGAGTGCCGGCGCAGACCCTGGTCCAGCATGCTACGGGAAAGGAGGGCCTCTATGTGTAACGGACGCCAACTTGTTCCTAGGACGGATCATCCCGGAATTCTTCCCAAGTCCCCTGGACTTGGATATCGTCAAACAGAGGTTTGCCGCGTTGACGGATGTCGTTAACAGAGAAAAGGAAGGCGGGGCCGCCTTTACCCCGGAGAGCCTGGCATTAGGCTTTTTGGCTATTGCAAATGCGACGATGACAAGGCCTATTAGGAAACTTAGCGAGGGACGGGGCTACAGCGCTTCCAGTCATAACCTTGGATGCTTTGGGGGTGCTGGTGGACAGCATGCCGTTTTTATTGCGCGGGATCTTGGTATTCGAAAAGCGATCATTCCACGCTACTCGAGTATTTTGTCTGCGTACGGGATGGCCCTTGCCGACGTGGTGGTTGAGAATCAAGAACCTGTTGCGTGGAGATTCGAAGAAAACACACTGCCTGAGCTCCAGGCTCGTTTGGACTTGATCTCTCTAAAGGGCGTGGAGGCTTTGAAGGCACAGGGCTTTGACGAGGCAAATATTGTGCATGAATGCTTCCTCAACATGAAATACCAGGGCAGCGATACGACACTGATGATACGTAAGCCTGACCGGCTGTCGAAATTTGGAGCAGCTTTCAATGCTCGACATGCACAGGAGTTCGGATTCTCCCAGAACCGGGATATCCTGATCGATGATATCCGGGTACGGAGTTTTGGGCGGTCCCGAACCGTGAATATCTCGAGTCCGTTCAAAGAACTAAACAAACTTGATGATCTCCGCGTAATGCAGCCACCAGAGGTAGCATTCATACGAAAGGTGTTCTTTAATATAGACGGATGGGCAGACACCAATGTTTATGCACTCGGTCGCTTGAGCCCCTCTACCCAAATCAATGGGCCGGCTATGATCATTGACGAAACCCAAACGATCGTGGTCGACCGTGAAAGCCGAGCAACTATCCTGCCTGAGCATGTCGTACTGGAGGTGGGGAGCGCCAACCAGCAGCAAATTTCCACCGATGCCGTGGACCCAGTCCAGCTGAGCGTGTTCAGCCATCGGTTCATGACCGTCGCGGAGCAAATGGGCCATACGATGGAGAAAACGTCAATATCCGTGAATATCAAAGAGCGACTGGACTATTCATGCGCTATATTCTCCGCTGGCGGTGGCCTTGTGGCCAATGCTCCCCACATCCCCGGGCATCTTGGCTCGATGAGCACGGCTGTCACGGCTCAAATCGAACGATATCCACCCGGTGATTTGAAGCCGGGCGATGTTATTATCAGTAACCACCCTGCTGCGGGTGGTACTCACCTGCCGGACATCACTACCCTTACACCCGTGTTTGATGACGACGAGAACCCGTCCGAAATCTTGTTCTACGTGGCCAACCGCGGCCATCATGCCGATGTAGGTGGTATTGCGCCAGGTTCCATGCCGCCCGACTCTACGGAGCTTTGGCAAGAAGGCGCAGCCATCGAGTCTTTCAAGCTCGTTAAACAAGGCGTGTTTGACGAGCCAGGGTTGATCAAGCACCTTTACGATATCCCGGGTACATACCCCGGGTGCAGTGGCACTCGCACCCTGAGTGACAATATTGCAGATCTGAAGGCGGCTGTGGCATCGAATCAAAAGGGCATCCAGTTAATTCATGCACTCATCAAAGAGTTTACCTGGCCAGCTGTCGAATTCTACATGAAAGCAATCCAGGAGAATGCGGCCCAAGCCGTGCGGGATCTGCTGAAAGGGTTTGCCCAACAGTACGAAGACGGAATTCTTGAAGCGGACGAGAGAAATGACGATGGCATCCCCTTCCATCTACGTGTCACGATCGACAAAGATACGGGTAACACCGTTTTTGACTTCACGGGAACCGGGCCGGAGCATTCAGGGAACCTGAATTCGCCGCAAGCCTGTTTACATTCCGCCATCATGGTAGGTATCCCAAGCAAAGATATGATGAACCCGCGCTAACTGGTCATAGTACTGTCTCCGATCAATGATCTCCGCCGACATACCACTCAACCAGGGGTGTCTGACCCCGATCCAAGTCGTCTGCCCAGAGGGTACTATTTTGACCCCTTCTATCACCGCCGCGACGGTCGGATGCACCACGGAGACATCGTCGAAGATTGCCGACCTTGTCTTCAAAGCTTTCAAAGCAGCCGCCGCTTCCCAGGGAACAATGAATAACCTCACCTTCGGCTATGGGGGCACCGATCCCACCACGGGCAAAATCGTGAAGGGATTTGGGTACTACGAGACCATCGCCGGCGGAGCGGGGGCAGGACCGGATTGGGATGGCACCAGCGGTGTCCACACCCACATCACAAACACGCGCATTACCGATCCCGAGATTCTAGAAAAGCGGTACCCGGTCATCCTGCACGAGTTCTCGATTCGCCACGGAAGCGGTGGTGGCGGTCTGCATCGGGGCGGGGACGGGTGCGTTCGTGACATGGAGTTCCGCATACCCCTTCAGGTATCGATTTTGTCGGATCGACGGGTGACGGCGCCGTATGGGATGGCGGGTGGGCAAGAGGGCCAGCGGGGAGAGAATATTTGGATTCGGAAAGATCCTGTCACGGGAGCCACGCGGAAAGTTGCCCTGGGTCCGAGGAAGACGGCGAGGCTTCAGCCCGGGGACCGGATTGTGATCTTGACGCCTGGGGGTGGTGGATGGGGGGAAGAGCCTTCGTCGTCCGAGCGCCATGAGGAGTCTTTGGCCGCCGGGTCGAAGGTTGGAGGTGCGGGTCGGAGTTCATTAAGGACCCAAGGAAGCCTCTCCGAGAGAAACGCGATTGCGGTCGGAAACTAATATAACGGAGTCGGGGGGTTAGACGACTCCGTTCTAGGCGGCGCATGGCAAGAGATAGACACACCTTCACGCGGAGCCGTAGGTATGGGGTCCGGGCTGGAAATTCATTTCCGGTTTGTGGGGATCGACAATGGCTTTGTCAGTGCCTCCAGAGTACCTTGAATGCGATGGTACGATAACCTTCATCCGTGCGATAACTGCCGGTGAAGAATGCCCGGTAGTATGTTTTATTATTTGAT